AATCTATAGAGGTGAAGGCAGAAGACTTGACGCTGAATTAATTAAGATAAACAAATTGACCAAAAGTTTGAATTAATTTTAAAAATTGATGAAAATAGAAAGATGTATGTTAAGTTAACAAACATATGTTACTATCAATAATTACATTAATGTATGAATAGTAAGGACTAAAGGTACCTATTAAAACAATACAGTAAGAAGATTAATTCTGAGGAAAGAAAAAATGAAACAATGCATGAAATGAAGTAGAATGTTGTGAAATATATGCAACGGAAGCAATAACATTAATTTTATACTCGTTTTATACAAACAAATTGTACACGAAAATTTTCCTTTAACAATTTATAATGTGGAATTCTGTATCTTTGTGGAAACATTGAAATATGAAAGCTATAACATTTAAAGACGAGTGGCTCAATGGACATAAATCACGTTAGATTGCGTTCAGGTATTCAGAACACGTCTAGCAGAATTGCTGTTTCACATAAATTAATTGTAGATGACATAGAGAGCTGTATATATACGTTATTTAAGGCTGATAATTCATTGCTTACAGAATTATCGAAAAGTACAAATGATATAGATTTCGATAAATAATACTTTCAAATGATCAATGAATACATAAAATCACATTTTAGGCAACAAAAGTATAAAAGTGTATTGCTTTATTTACAAAGGGTGAATTATTTTTTAGAATAAGAGTAATAATTATAAAATATAAACTGTATTATTTTGTTATTAGTACAATTGTGTTATTGCAAATGGTTTTAAAAACAAATTCTTCTGTTAAAACGCCAAACAAAATTTGATCATTATGAAACATATATCAACCAAGCCGATTTTAATTAAAATTCGAATTCTGTTGTTGTATAACACATCTTTTTTAAGTAACTCTTAATTTTACCTTACAATGTTATGTATCATATTAATTTCTATCTGTTTCCAAATGAATACTTTAATGCCTAGTATCACATATACATCACTTCGTTTAACCAGCGGTAATGGGTTGATGTCACGCAAACGAGATTTCGCTATTCTCAAGCCTGTCACTCTAAATTAAAGTACTCAATTCTAACACAATATATCTGACTACCATATTTATTAATAATAAAGCTAAATTAATATTGTATTTATACTTGAGGTGACGGTAGATTTATTAATTTGCAAACTGTTGTTAATATTTCCGTAATAAAGGACTTTTATGTATAAAATACAAAATATAGCTATCACTACTTTAAGAAAATATTAAGATAAAGAATTCTCTTTTAATTATTTATTATTTCATTTATTATCTTAAAATTGCAAAATAAAATTTTATAGACGTAAAATAACAATGTATTTTTTGTGAAATATGTTTTCGCTATCTTTTACTGTTTTCTAGGGAATCCACAGGAAAGAAAAATTTGCAGTTTTTAAAAAAAGTGAAATTCGGCACGAAAAAAATTGCAATATATTAGGCTTGACTAATTCTGTTTACACGCAATGTTTTATAATTGTTTGAATTTTGATACCTTTCCTTGTTAGTTAGAAAATCTCCTTAAAATGAAAGAAAATTAATCCATTGTTTCAGATTGAAATTCTATATTAATGCTAGATTCCAAAAGCAATTCTCAGTCGGGGGACACTACATCACTCAACTCATCTATCAAATTCTCAATATTAATAAGCACGCTTCAATCTCCGAACACAATAATAATATTATCGACAATTCTGTCATCATATTCTAATTATCATTGCTGAGAAACTTCGAATATGTAATCATTCATTGATATTAAATTTCGCTTTTAATTAATTTCTCGCCTTCACATAAACGACTAATACTTCTTATATGTATTATTCTTATAAATATAATTTTGTTTGTTAGGTATTAGTGATAGTTAGAATGTAATAGTTCCATTAAAAAAAAGTGGACAATCTCTCTCCAACTTACCCTATATTAAAGAAACGAAATAAACTTTTGAGACAATTGAACAATTTAAACGAAATTAAGGAAAATATTTTTCGGTGATTAAAAAATTATCAAACTTGGATTTTGAAAATATTGTTTTGAGAAAAATGTACAGTTTATACATAAATATAATTATATTTACATGGAATGGTAATTTCTTTAAAAATTTTCTAGTAAAGCTTTTATTAATTTTTATTCCAGTAAACATTGTATTCTTTTATAAATTTTCGAGCAAAGGAAAGAAACATTAAGATAGAATATTCAAATAGTCGCATTTTAAAAAAATTAATTGTTATGCCCACCAAGGTGTATATAAGTTTATTAAAAAGGCATATAAACACATAACACGATTATAGATAATTTTTCAGAATATTTCAAAATATTTTTAGGTTACTATATACAAATACAGATGTGTCTCATCAATTACAATGCTGTAAAATTAGAATTATATATTTCTCATCTATTTTCTATGAATATGAAAAGGTTTAGGATTCATAATTACGGTCAAAGTGTATAACTTCGGAGTGCAACAAAGCTTGGGTACATGATTGTCGAAGTTACTGGGATATTTGATTCCCTTTGTCTCCCGAATAATTCAATATATCGCTAAAGCCTTCGCTCGTATCTCGACGTTTGAGACTCGGCAGTGCTGTCAAAATGTCCTTTTTATAGGCAGGAAGAGAATAATAGGTGGAAATAATACGTCAAGGCAACTGAACACGACAGTTCTATATCCCTTATGTTCAGTTTGTCAGTCTTCTTCTTTGCACACACGATACTCATTGGCAGATATCGGAACAATGGGATCGTAGCTAGTGTCAATAATTTTGTAAAAGACATTTATTTTTAAACACAATAAACAAAGTTAAATCAACGGTTAGAATATAAATATAGAAATAGTGTTGATCCGCTTGTATCATATGGCGAAATAAATATTCTATTATCTATTATGATTATTATAATACTATAACAATATTACAATATATTGTTATAACATATAATGTTCTGTTGCGATATATATTGCACTACTCTAATACCTATGTATTTTGTATTTTCTAAATCAAGAGACTTTCAACTACATTTAAAGATTATTACACTCTCCAATTACTTAATAAAAAACATTTCATCATACTCAAATTTTGTGTATATCTATTTATACAAAATCTAATTAAACCAAAAAATATCAAATTCTATTATAAAGTAGTGCAAGTACGTTGAATCGTTGTTAATTGCTGACTGTGCTTATACGTTTGATGATGGCCAATAAATTGCTCAAACTGCAGGTTAATACAGAGTTAAACAAGTTTTGCCTCGCCAAGCAGAAAGTTATCTGCAGATACGAATTTCCATTTCTACCGATAACGCTCACGTATTAGAGAGTCCATAAATATGTTTATTCGTAATCGTAACTTTCGAATCTCATTAGTTTCTTAAAAAGCTCAGAGGAATGGAAGAAAAAAGACAGAAATCTATACATTCAATCGTTAATACTTTTTAATCGTATTGATGAATTATTTGGGATGGTAAATTTTCTATGAATTTCTGATGAACCATTCAATCCTATATTATAACAATAGAACCTTTTTATTTTCTGCTAATACTATGAAAATAAGGTCCACTCAAACATTATGGGTTCTAAAACTTTCCTCATTACAACTTTATGTAGTTTATTAGTTGATCGACACTGCTGGACCGAAGGGGGTTACAAAATTAGGGTTGTTACCATAGTTATGAATAACTCTTAAACAGGTGACCTCTGCCATATTCAAAGGTTATGGTCAATTTCACTGGCAATTAATATTCAAGTACAAACAAGCATAACTATTAATCAACATTTACTACTTTTAAAATAATACAAGAATTAAACAAACAAGCGGAGACTCTTTGACTTTTTACCATTTAAAAAAAATACAAGAATGAAACAAACAAGCGAAGACTCTTTGACTCCATACGCCTATTTAACACGTTAACTGCTGCGGCAGTCACTGATCACCGTTACTTCTAAATTGCTTGAAAATAATGATGCAATTGCTTGAGAATAACGTAAAATGCTGTAATATGATTAAGAACGAATAAAAGTATTTAACGCTCTGAGTAACAAGATATTGACTGATTAAATTTTAACTGACTAGATATTAACACATATCACACATGTGTGACGCCGTTGGTTACTGTTGCTATGACGATGTTAATCTGTTAATTGTGGAATTTAATTTCAAAAATTTCTGATAATGCTCGGTCAAATGCACCTATAATATATTCTAACGAAAAGCTAAAACAAAACAAAAAAGAATTACATGTTTATCTAAGAAAATAAATAATTTATCGTTGAAAAAATTAGTATCTTTTTGATTTTAAGATGATGTGTATACTCGTCGAATGCAGTTATGTAACTGGTTAACATATATTTAGTACACTCCATGTTGTTTTAGCTATATTAAAATACAACATACGTATAACATTTATATAAACCGCTTTGTTTGATTTATTTACTATCTTCCAAACGCGCAAAAATGACACAAATAACATCACGTGAAACAATTGCAAGAAGGACACAATCTACAGTAAAGATATTTCAAATTCATAATCACGAACGAATTAACACATTGTTGACGGGTCACGAGTTAACTCATATTTGCACTTGCATTAGCTATTTGAATTGTTGAAACGCAGAGCAATATAGAACATTGCAAAGGCAAAATATTCAAAGTTATACATAAGACATATCCAAAGTTTCATTTTAATTCATTATGTATAACTAAAATGTACTGAAGTTTACTTAGCTTGTTTCATTTTCATATTTAATTACGGAATAACAACCAGTGACATGGGACAGCTTCTGCGTAAAGTTGCCGGTCAACAATGTGTTAACTAACTAAATAATGTAACTTAACAATCATGATAAAAAAATAATTAATTGTTTCCATTTACTACAAAACAGTAAGTGACGCAAAATCAAAATCCCCACAACAATGAACGTGGCAAACGATAACATTCGAAATCTTTCAGTTGATCAAACGCATCCAATAAAATCCTCCCGTTTTTGTTCCAGGCGTAAGGGACCGACACGCCATCGAGTCGACGGAAATGAAATGTTGTGACCAACGGTGAACGACGTGGCGAACGATAAGGAGTATCATCGAGTGCGGAGTAAGTGAGCATATGTGACGAGTGTCGTGACCCGAGACACTTGTTGCATGTCGGTTGTTTTTTAAAAAGTCTGCCGCAATGTCTGTTTCGCGAGGAAGGGAGGATTAGTCAACGTCCGACGCAAAAAAGAAAAACGTGAAACACGGGAGAAAGAAAGCGGAAAAGAAGCGAATGGCGCGCGCGTGCCTTGGGCCACGCGGTTTTGATCCAGCGTTCCTCCGCGTGCCTGCTTTGGTCATGAAACTCGCGCGCGTTTCCGTCGTGCCTCGCGAGACGTGTACTTTGGATGTTCGGGTACTTTCTTCGTTGACGCGTTAACGAATTCAACGGTTTCGTTGGTCGTGTGATGCTGTCATGTCGATCGTCGATCACTGTTTCCTTCGCGGGCGCCAAAGTGTTCCGTGATCCGGCCGTGTGCATGTAAAAGTTGGTTTCGATCTTCTCTGCGTCGCGCGTGTGATCCAAGAAATCCGTAGCCGGACGAACAGAGGACATGAGCGTGATTGTGTGCTCAGGCCGGTGACGCCGGTCGCGAATTGTGCGTGAGGGCGTGTGCGTGTGTGGCTATCGTCGGCTGGTACTCCTAGGTAGCGGACTGTCATTGACGTGACGGATATTCGTTCGTGGTGAGTTTCAGATTTATTGTTCCTGTAGTGCTTCGTTTTTTTCACAGATTCGCCGATACGTCAGTCGCGTTGCGGGCGACACGATTCATTGTACGGTTTAGAAAATCATTTCTATGGCGTATTGGGTGTAACAATTTTTCATTGGATGTTGTATTACCGTTGTATTGTTATATTCAAATACGGACTGGTAATTATAAGTTTATAAGTATGTTTGTACATTAGTCTATGCGGCTAGTATATTTGTGTTTTAACTTTGGAACTGTTGAGCAATGATATTTACTGTTTTGCATTTTTTCACACAAAATATAAGAGTGTGTTTATTGAGATTTTAATTTATTTAGGTGTGTTTTGGATTGTTTTATGAAATTAATTTGTTTAGGAAATTTCTGGAAAAGCATCTGGTCTTTTCTAATCTATCATATAATAAAAGAAGAGAATGTGAAGTGATTGAGTTTCACCTGCCTGGTTGGGTCTACTGTTAATTGATAGGCAATATTCGATTATTGATTTTTCTTTACAATCTCGGAATGGAAGGTCGAATAAAGGAAATGAAATGAAAAGTATTGATTAAAGTATTGGATAAGCGATTTTTGAGGTTTTTGTAGACCAGTTAAATTTAGAAACAGATCTAAGGTATATCATATCATATATTATTAGAAAAAAATTGTTCTTTCCATATCTGTCAATGCAAATTTCATTTTAATATGTTTTGTGGTTTAAAAATGCATCAAGATTCACTAAATACTTCAATTCTGGTAACTATTAGGTTGTCATCCAGTTATTCTCTAGGTAGAAGCTTTAAATTTCTAAAACAGATTGTAATTATCGTTCTTTCATTTTTCATACAGTCGCATCAAGATTTCTGCAAATTAAACATACTATCCAAAAATAAAGAAATCTTTTTCTAAATATTTTAACATCATTTCAATAGCTGTGTTTTACTTAATATTCAATTAATTGTAAATTGAAGCAGACAAATCATTAGATAATAATGTTATCAGCGTAATATCTTACCTGTACCCAGACTCGCAGTGTAAATGCAGCACTCGGGTTTCCAAAGTAATGAGTATGTCTATTTTATGAGCAAATGGACTACAAAGACCCTTAAATAGTTAAAGCACCCACGCAAACCCTTAGTCAAAGGTATCAAAAGGAATATGTGTTTGATATTTAGTGTTACAAGCACATTAATTCAGCCACCCGTTCAAAAATTCATCAAAAGGTGCACTTTACAAAACAGTTTAGCATGTTCCTTCTATATTACTTTTATTTTTTATGTTTATTGATATTGTTAAAGAATTTTGCATTTTAACATATAAAAACGGGATTAATTCTATTGAATTGCTAATACTCAAAGTGAAATGAAAACTTTACGGTTGTCGAATGCGAACAAAATATTTTTGCAATGGGAAAATGTTAGCAGTACCAATACTTCATAAAAAAAAGTAAAAAGATTAAACGCAGTATGGAAATATCGAAAAGAGATCAATAAAATCTTAATCGATGTATACATCAAAATACAATGTTGTGTTTCCAAATTTTGAAATACATTTTATGTATTTACAGAATGTATCATTATCTATCATTAAAAATATAAAAATCGAAAAAGTATACTTGCATAAAATATTAATACAAAAGAAATTTGAACCAGTCAGGATTTATTTAGTTTGAAATCTTGAAATTGAATATCAAGTTTATTCATTATCCATAATTCGTAGATCATCTATAAATAATCTCTGTGATTATGTGCTCCAATACGATTTACCAAAAATGTGTGAAAATGTAAACATCAAGAATATTATCTAACGATATTTCAATGAAAACATAAGTCATAATTAAAGACCTGACAATCACAAGAACAGATTATAAAATGGAAAAATGTCTATATTTTTTTAACGATCTGAATGAAATATTTCAAAAGTGAATGTAAATATTGGCACTAAATTCAACACGAATTTATGGATTCACCTAATATTTACGATAAATCTTGGAATACCCAGAGGTTACGATATAGTGAAATAGTAAACTCAGTGGGACCATAAACAGAAACTTCTTATGACGGTTTGAGGCAACTAGGATTCTCGATACAGAAGCTATTTTTAGTATTTGAAAAGTTTTTAGAAAAGATAAAGAAGGAAAAGTAATTGAACCTCTTGAATTAGTATTTCATAGGTGACTGTGTAAGCCATGTGTGTCTATTTAATTTTGCCATACTTAATTGAGAACGGTCCTATATGAAACAATAAATGTACAATGTTCTTGCAGTTATGCATAGTATTACATTGGCGACTAAGTTCTCCATGTTAACTATTCTTAACTATAATTATTTATAAAGAGTCTAAATGATAGAAAGCTAAATAATAAAAACATACTTATTCTTTAAAAATATTTTGTACACACAGCATTTAATACATTGAATTTAAAATTTAAATTTTAAAGGAAATGTAAATAGGTTTTGTACGGATGATTTTAGAGTCACAAAAATTTTGAGAGTAAGTCAGTACATAAATAATATATCTTCAGTTATTTTTTTTTATAAGGTAGATATACTTCAGCAGTTCATTTTGGATGTACATTTTGGATTATATGAAAGTAAAGACTAAACAGTTTCGACACGTTGCCCTGCCAGAGACTCTTGCGGGCTAAACTGCAGAAGCGCTAATGGATTCAAACGGTGCTTTCAGCACGTATCCAACAGTATAAACTGCTTTTCGACCGCGTGACACTCGAGTCGACATTCGTGTGCGCTATTGTAATAGCCTGAATCCGACTTAACTATAAATTAAGATGTTTTAACAATATATTTTACGTGCTATAAAATATTACGAAATTATATAATGTATTTTTAATGGAACACCATAAATGCAACTGATAATAACATTTGAGACGAAGTTTCTAACACTATTTATTACCAAATGTAGATTCCATAATACACAGTCTGTCCAACGTCAGGTGCGACTAGTACTGAAAAAAGGGAGAGTACAATTTTTGGGTCCTTCTACATTTTTTTATTCAAATTATACTCCTTCTGAATCAATACAATGCTGGAAGCGGTTTACAAATTTTTGAACACAGTCATTATATTCCTTTTTCGGGATTTGCCTTCAAAACCGCAGTTGAAGCTAATTGTATGTCCTGAATAGTATCGTAATGGTTTCCTTTCCGTGCAAACTTTAGTTTTAGAAACTGCCAAAAGTCGCACGGAGGTAAATCAGGCAAATATAGGGGGTGTTCGGGCACTGTACTAACTTTTCTGGCCAAAAAATCGCGTAAAATCTCGGATTTGTGCGTTGGTGCATTATCGTACAGATGGGACCAAGTCCCTTGCTTTCGGTATTGAGGCCGAATTCGACGAATCCTGTTCCATAAGATATTTAGAACATCGGCATAATATTCTGCGTTTACCGTTTGACCTTCAGGTATGAATTCCTTGTGGATAATTTCTTGCGAATCGAAGAAAACTGTGAGCAATGTCTTGATATTACTCTTCTGAATGAGCACTTTTTAATCATCTAAAAACTTTGGCACGATTTGTGCAATCACTACCGTACACGCCTTTCATCATTCCGTACGTTTCGCTTGCTGTTTTGCATAACTCAGAGGCTCCATATAGTTTTTTCAACATGCGCTACGAAGCCTTGTCAGATGTAACCTCAATAACAAATGACGTAGAGGTGCTATCAGATTGAAGTTGTACGCGGACTTTATTGACATGTCAAACTTCACAATGCATTTATTCATTACGAGATGGTGTTACAGAAATAAAATGTAAAGGCTTTGTCGCATCAGGCTCTGGGCAGACTGTGTATACATAAATAGTCTATACAGGGATAAAAAATTTATTTCATAACTTCAGTTTGTTTTCAAGGTGATATCTCTTTTCCATACAAAGTAAAATTAATATAGTAATTAACAAAACAAATCACCACAGAATTATAATTAGTATAAATAGGTATAAAGAAATCAGTATCTACGAACTGCAATTTGTGAGAAAGTTATTTCCAATATTGAAGACTATTTATTTTATCTATGTTAATAAAATCCTGAGTACAATAGTTTATTTACAATTTTTATCAACAAATGTTCAGTGATATACATAAAGTAACTGATTCATGTATAAAAGAGAATCAAAATATAAATTGCATTCGCCTAGAGCTTGTTGTATATTAAAGATATTTAACTGAGGCTTAATGGCAACATTGTTCAATGTTCATTTTGAAGTTACATTAAATATCTTCGACCTAATGATTAAACAGTAAGAAAGACGTCATGGTACTATTCCGAAAATAAAAAATGCAACACAGAAATGATTATTGCAAGATGGTCAACAGTTTCTCAAAATGGAATAGAAAAATTTATTCTAAAGTACCATATCTAAGCAAACATGGAAATTATGTAGAAAACTAATCTTTTAATTGTATTTTCAAAGTAATGGGGGAAAATAACTTTAAGTATTGATTACTTAATCTTTGTAAATTTGAATGCAACCAACTTTTCAACCCTCACTCATATTAGTGATAATGTTTACCTGTTTTTCAAGATTTATACAATATTCGGTATTTATTCCGAATCATAACTCCACCTAAAAGATAATAATATGAGTATGCATCAGGTTGTCAGAACAATTAACACAGCATTTGTAGTTTACCATCACACGTGTCTACGTTTACTACTTACCACCTCCATATAACGTGACGACGTAACAAAACCTAATTTAGACCTAATCCAGAACACTCAAATCTTCGCATTTCGTTCTACATTCATCAAAAATCAATAAAATATTTCTCACGGTCTTGTTCTTTATAATTCTATATGTAAATCATCCCCAAATAATAATTGTTACATTGTCAAAAAACTAATAATATACTTACCTATTATACAGGCACGTGCTTCTTAACGCAAAGTCGCGTTGATCAGTCATTTGAGTTAGGTTTGGATTAGTATTTATTTAATATTATAACACATTATTATTATTTTATCATTATCATCATTATTATTACCATTATTATTAACTCGTTCCGTGCCACGTGTATCATTTGTAATACACGCACAATTTTTGTAATAAAACATTTTTTATAAGGTACATGTCAAAAAATAGCGGTACATGTCGTGAAGCAGCAAAAATGTAAAGAAATAATATCAATAATATCAATATATATTATATATATATATACATATATATATTATATATATATACATATATATATTATATATATATATACATATATATATATATATATATAAACCGCCAGAAGTTGGATGTAACTTAATATTTCATTTAAAAAGTCAGTGCACTTTATAAGCAAGATATAACCGAAATTTCCGGTGGCACGCAATGTGTTAATATTTTATTTCTCAAAAATAGAAGTAGTTCGTATAATACGTAAGTACCATAAAAACACCTTGTTTGGAGTCGTGATTCAAAACAAGTACCGGATCTTCAGATGCGCGTCACTCTCATACTGAAACCATCCTAAAAATCACAGGTGGATATCTCCAGGCGCGTACGCTGTTGGCTTCGGCAAAGACGGGAAACAGAAAAGACCGGAAGGCTGGATCACCTCCGTGGAATGTCTTCGAGCGCCAAGCGGCTGGTGCAGTCGCTTAGGGGCCGCAGTGGGGGTGGTAGAGGCAACGGCGGTGGTCGCAGCGATGCTGGTGGTGGGGAAGGCAGTGGCGGCGGCGGTGGTGGTGCTAGCACCAGTGCGACAAGATTGTGCCCTTCCGATAACAGCCTTGAGCTCAATCAAATCTCGGTGGTCGGTGACACTATCGCTACGACACCTTGCCACTGTGGTGGTCTCAAGTATGGGACAAGGGGGCAAGCGCTGTTCAGTATTGCTGACTGGGTACCTGATGCACCGGCGTACAGACTCCATTCCGGTGAGTGCCATTTCAAATCTTTCTTTCGAGAATTTGTTTTCGAGGCTCTAGACAATTTTATCGTTAACACCAAAGCTACCGAACAAAAACAGTAAAAATAGATTATTTTTAGTTTCTTCAGACATTCACTATAATATTCAAGTGAAGCTATTTATTTTCAAAATCATTTTGAATATTGTATGCCCTTAAGATATCAATTATCGCGAAACAAAAAATTCGAAGCCAGTCATTTCGTCTTTTTTTTATTTATAAGTTTTGAATTGCATCAGTGGTTGACGTTGGTAGGAATAGTAATTTGTTTCGTCTTTATTAAGAAATTGAATGTTTTATTTGGAATTTAGAAATTGAGAATGTTTGAGTATATCGAGGGTAAAATACATCTTCCGATATTAATCGTATGTCAGTGAACTAAGTAAAGCTGCAGATAGAAATTTACTGAAGTTTTATACGCTGTTTTTGCCAATACTTTGATAGGGAACAGTTCTAATTTAATTACAACGAGTATAAGGGTACGGTCAACGCTAATCTCTATTGCAAGTAGTATAGGTCGCTCATAGTGTAACCAGCGCTTGATTCACTGATGCTGACAAGATATTCGTTAAAAATTGCTTCAAATTTTCGAAAAGTTAAATACTTAAGGATTTTGATGTGTCTCCTGTCAACTCTCTACAATTCTATCAAACTTTGAAGTTACATACACGTGTATCTTCATTTTTCTGTTAAAAGTTGGTATAGCATCCATTGTCATTTAAAAGTTACTAACCACTTATTAAATATTTGAAAATTATATTAATTAACAAGCTGATTCTTATACAAAGTTTAATGTTTGTTAATTTCACGTTGCAAAATAATTTTTACACACGAACATAAATTATGGAAAGTTAGATACCTTATCGCAGGTAAAGTAGAAAAATATAAAGATCTTATTTCTTATTTTGATTATAATAAGCGAAACGGCAATAGCAAATAAAAGGTTCATCGACGCCGTTCCATGAAAAAAAAAGTGACGAGAAAAACTTCTTTCCAGTTTACGAGGGAGAATTATTTGTACTTCCGTGCGTACGAGTGAAGTTCGTAATGCCGCTACTTTCAGGAATTTTCATCAGACTAATGCTACGTGTCGATTTGCGAGTTCTAGACTCGAAAGGAACTCTCGGGAGTAAAACTCTGTAGTGAACATAAACTTGAGAACCGCTTTCCCTCTAGCACCGAAAAACTATCAGATAGCAGTCGTTTGCGAGTCACACATCTCGTATGCGAACACGTTCGCGTTCTCGTAGTTGAAGAGCGCTGAAAATAGAAATTTATAATTAGACTGCGGAACTTTATGGAAATTCGTATTTCCACAGGTAAATTTGGAAAAACAGTGATTGCAGTAGCATTGAATTTTGTCCACTATGAGTTACGGAGGATGAAAAATAAACTGAATAAATAAGAAGTAAATGTATAGTCAGACCATAACTCCTTATAAAATAATTTTGTTTTTAAATAGGTGCTATAATAAATTAATGTTTATTGAAATACATGTGGCATATTATTTTTAAAGTTACACTCTTTAAAACAAAATATTACTATTAATGAAATATTTAATATTTATTACTATTTATTAAGTGTTTAATGTTTATTACTATTTATTAAATATTAATATTTACTATATATTAATAAATATAATATTTTACACAGTATTGCTTGTAATTAAGAAGTGAAATTTTATTGCACATAACACATATATATACATATTGTAGGTGTAAGTACATTGACGATTGAATGCGTGTGAATAGATAACGCGCAAGTGTTCGCCTATGTGTATCATGAATAAATGGCTAAGATAGTTGAAATATTCTAGATTATTGATTTTCTAAAATATTCATTTTATATACATATCTAATGAATCCAGAATATACCACATGTATTTGAAGGTATCGAATGGTGACAAAATATGTTCCAAAAAGTGTGCGTGTAAGGTGAATGCATACGAATGTACATGTTGCGCGTGTAAATCGATTTCCAATTATTGTGTTAAGCAAATAATTTATAAAAGTTGTGTCATTACAATTTTGTTTATATCAATAAATTCTATTTCTTTTGCAATATGAATGTATATACATGAGAACTTTTCTTAATCGTTTTGTTGTGTAAGATCAACTTCTCAAATATTCTGAATTACACTATGTTATTCCTCAGGCGTTTCAAATGCAAAATTATTTTATGTTTACAAACCTCAAAAATATCTTCAATTTATTTGTCCAATTGTAATCCTAAGGTTTGAACAATTTTTCGGTACAATATGATCTTCTTTATCAAACTGACCTACTCATTTGTGCTTCTTTACAAATGTTCTCTGTAAATCCGAATTCCCTGTGTTGGAAATACTTTGTCCCTGTCCGTTTCAATAGATAGTTCGTCGTGATCCTTTGCGCTGCTATTGTAACAGTGCTTTTTATTATCCGGAAATTCAGTAACATGCTTCTATGAACTTTCAATCCTTCCTGGCCTTGTGGATTGAGTCGTATATTGGCTGCTTTTCTTATTTGTTGGTAAAGATCCGCGCCACGATCGATTCGTCTTAAATTTTAAGTATTTTAGAACATTTCCTAAAACAGGGTTAAACGTAACTCGTATAAAAAGTAATCAATCAAATTTCGTTATTAATTCGTCACTTAATTTCAATTCTGTACTCGTTTATTCGGTCTTCAATACATTAATACAATAAGCAAATGCGTCAATCTTATTTTATTACTTCTACATTGTTTCACTTTAAACTTACTTTTGTTTTTTCGAAGTTGTCTGAAATTTCAGGTACTACAATTATCTTTGACTTGATGTTAAATACATTACTTATTGCATTATGAAAGTCGATTTGAAAATATTTGAATTTCTATTTTCATATATGCGTTATTTTGCTGTTTAGTAATTATTATATACTATCCCATTCATATGACTGCATTTTAAAAGTAGTTATTATAATATCCTTCATTATAATAACAATTAGTCTTTATTGCATAATTTTCATGATAATTTCAATGTTTTTCCCAATAAGCATATTATACTTATTCTAATTATAATATTACGAAGGATGTAGTGCGCGAGTAGCGGTAGATACAATGTATCGAGATCTGAAGACGACGAGCACGCTTCGGTGCGTTCGCGACGAAACAAAAAGACAAACGACGTCAACGTGAGGGTAGAGAGAGTCAGTCATGTTGTAACATTGGCAAAAACATCTTGTGCCTGTTAACGGTTTTGTAAAATTTATTGATTAAATCTAGTGATTATACATTACCCAGGGTGTCAGTTCAGTGCAACCCCAATCCTACATATTATATTATTTTAATATAATAAAATTTCTAAATAAAACTATATTACTCCAATTATTATTATTATTATTGTATATACATATGCCTTTGAAATGAGAATTCGAAATTTTCTTGAAGGACAATTGTTTCCAAACCGTAAACAAGAAAATTATTCGCTTTTCCAACTTCCAACAACAATGGGAATAACTGGAGTGTACAAGTGAAACGGGATACCGTGTACATTGGATTCAACCTTCCAGCTCGATACTGCATGACTCGCAATTCCTATCATGATAGACATATTCACGGCGTGTCTTGCCATTTTGCTTCTTCGTCCGAGGCAATTCTGAGTGAATGGATTTACTAATGACAGCTCCAGCGAATCCATTAATCAGCGACTGAGTCAGTCGCTTCCACGATCTTCCCCACTTATAGTACGAGCGCAAAAAGTTTTTCGAACCCTCGCAGCTACCTTCTTTTTCTGCGTGTGAATGATTGTTCAGTAGGGCCTCTTATAACACGAGAGATACATGGCTACGTTCCGCGTTAACCTCTTCAAGGGTACTGGCGTATATTAATAATAATCGATAAATAAACAATTAATACATTAACAAATGTATAATATATACATTTGTTAATGTATTAAATATTTATAATAATAATTATTATTATTACATATATAAATGTATTTATGTGTACTTGTATTTGATTTTAGTTTAACATTAAAATCCATGAAAAGGACACTTGTTTTATTTTTGTATAATTTTTATAATTGTCTTCGGCCGTCTTCATATTCCTGAATTTGTATCAATTTCAACAAAATAAACTGCAGTCAAACAGAAACTAAAATCGTCTTTATCCATTCTAACAAAAATTTAGCGCTAAAGAGGTTAGTACTGTGAATTTTATGTCACTTCAAAGACACATACGTTTTCATATTACATATAAATGTTTTTCAGCGATTTATTTAATCGCATTAAACAGGCGCGGCAGAGTTATTTTCAATTCGCGTTTGAAAAGAGAAAAATAATTTCTGGTAAATCAAAATCGGATAAAGAGGCAGAATAATTCATGTTAACATATTGTTGACCAGTCACGAGTTAATTCGAGTTTGTACCTGCATTCGCCATTTGAATTTTTGAAACACAGGGCAATATCGAATATTTCAAAAGCAAAATATTCAAAGTTATATAAAAGATATGTCCAAAGTTTCATTTTAATTCATTATGTATAAATAAAGTATTTTAAAGTTTATTTAGATTGTTGCACTTTCATACTTAAGTACGGAATAATAACTGGTAATTGGGATAGCTTCTGATCATAATTGCCGGTCAACAATGTGTTAAATCGAAAACATCTAAAAAGAGGAAACTAATTCATGTGATATCAAAATCGTGTAAAAATGAAATTGTGTGCGGTGCATTATACGGGGTTCACTCGCAAATTTCGTGTGTTTCTTCAAAGTCCTCGAGCTACTTCCGCGCATTCCCGCCGTCATCCCCGCTAAATGTTTGCAGCGAGTCCTCCGCATCTTTGAATGAGGGCGGCTCATGTACACTGCTGTCGAAATCTTTCCCTCCCAGCCACCGTTCCCGCCGTCTAACCGTCTTCATCTCCTGTTTCTCTTTTTGTTCCCTTCATCATCAACCCCATTCTTCTCCGTGACTTCTTCTGACATACATATTGCAGACCGTAACCGCACAC